TTGCTGTAAGAAGGTCCTCCATAGTTTTTCAATGAATGTCTCATAGAGCCTCAACCAATTCAACATAGTTTGGGGCAGCCACATAAACAAAGTTTCTGGAGTATAACCATTACTTTCAAATTATGTACCTCACAATTATGCTGGAAATAACACTTTCAACCCAGGAAAATATTTTTTTCAAATTTTATTAAATAGTGTAATGTATGATGTCAACCCTACACCACTAACGAAACAAATTACAGTAGTCTCGGCTAAGCAGTACCCACAGTGATTGGTAGATGCCAGACAAATGTAGTTTCCCAGTTGTTTGAGTCACTATTAGAAATAGTACCATGTCATACTGTAAACTCTGTACTGGCTTCATGCTACTATTTAAATATAATAATTAAAGGCAAACTAAGACAAACTTTATGCAACACGTTTTACTGTATTTACACTGTTTTACTGTGTTATAAAAACAGCTACTTTTATTTAAAGTACTATTTCTTTTATTTATTTTTTGCTGGCTGCTTGAATAGTTATAGTTAACTGAGAGTCTACTGTACGTAACTAAATCAGAAACACAAAACACCCATCTGCACCAGTATCTGGTACATGCAACAATGTACAAGATAAATATCACACATGCAATCTTAAAATATTTTATCAATAGCTATTCATATCTACATATACAGATGGAAAGTCATACAATAGTGAGAATGTCAACCATACTTTGCTTACACTTAATTTAAAATTGCCCTGGTTGCACTTTCTGGTTTGTCTTTGTTGTGCAAATAGCAAGAAAAGGTCAACATACCAAGGGAACAATGTGCTTAAAAATGTCTCATTATTCATCTCTATGTCTTGCTGTTCCAAATTAGGTGGCAGCTGCAAATAATTTCTCGGATATTTCTGATTCTGTCAGCCCTTTCTTTCATTGCTGCTTTAGCAATTTCTCCTATCTGTTGTATACCTTCAAGTCATTTCCAACTTGTAGTGACCCTAAAATGAATCTATCACAGGATTAGTTCAAAGTGGTTTGACTTTGACGTTGCCTTCACTTTCCTCTAAGACTGAGAGAGTGTGACTTGCCCAGGTTCATCCAGTGGATTTCCATGTCTGAGCAGGTATTTAATTCAAACCCTGGTCTCCAATCGTAATCTAATGCTCAAAGCTTATTTGTTCCTTAGCTCGATAGCTTAATTTTTGCTTTAAACACTCTGTCGAATCTGTTATTCCAGACATTTTTTTCCTGTTGGGCATTTCATGGATTTCCATGTCAAATCTGTGATGCCAGGTTACAATTCTCTTTTTTATTACACTAAACTCTTGTAAGTACCAGAAGAGTGTAGTATCATGCATTTCCAGTGATGTTTTAGAGAGCAAAAGCCCCTGTCCCCCCAGGAATTCTATTGGTGATATAATAGTTGATGATAATGCATTTCCCTCAAATTTCAATATATCCTCAATGAGAAAATACTGTTTTTCCATCATAATGTACATTGTGACTGATAGTGCTATATGGAAAGCATTTGTGCAAATTTCACAGTTTTAGTGGACAGTAGTTGGAGGATTTCTAATCTTTCCAATATCTTAATTTTAGATCTCTAGGGTTTTACTGCTCTCTCTCACACACATATGTCATTTCCACATATATATGTCAGGGCTCATTACTTTTCCAAACCCACCGCTAAGGTTTGCTTCACTCAAATATTCCCCGATTATTTTGTAAATCTGAAAAAAAACCATTAAGTTTGGAGGAGAGCTCTCCCTCTGCAGTGCTGAAATTTAACATTTACCTTGTTTTTAAAAACTTGTATGTTTCAAAGAGAAGTAAACCATTCCTGTTTCTGACAACCATACTGATTCCACTCATGTTTCCATCCATGCATGTGGAAAAAGCTTTCTGTACTCCTTTCAGCAGAGTTGAGTTTGTACACTTGGTTATTGGGGAGGGCGATCTCATAGATTGTCTCTTTTAGATTGTCTCTTTTCCTTGTATTTACTGTTTCTACTGTTCTTTTGTAGCCCGCTCTCCTTCCTGCTTCTGTCAACTTTCTTCTTTTAACCTAGTGATCCAACCCAGCTGAACCTTGCCACGTCTTTCTGAGGGACAGCTGACAAGCACACTTCAAGTGTGGGTGTTTAGATGTCTTCTTTCTATAATATGTATCCATGACAATCTTCGTATTTTAACTTTGTCATCCTAAACCCTTACATAGAATACGATTTGGCACTGCCCACCCAATGTACATCTTGTCTATTTTTGTCTTGTCTTGTCTATCAGTCTTGATTTTAATTGTTTTAATTTCATTAAATTATTTTTATATCATTCGGTTCCCACACAGGCCTGCCAAGGGAAACAAGATCAACAAGAGAGTGTGCGCAGTAGAGAAAAAAGACAGCATACCTGGTGTGTTTGGAACCAGTCTACATTTGAACAAGTTGCCTTGTAAGGTAGGTGAACCTTGATTCACAGCGGCAACTTTTAAAAATATATCCTTTCCTTACATCTGCTGAATAAGTACAGAAACTAATAATCAAATTTTAAATATTTCGGAAGACAGAAACATAGTATTTCATCAATTGTGCATTTCCATACAAGACCACACCATAAAATTATTGGAACTCAACCACAACCTGCATCAGTTTATATCCCTCATCAAGGAAATAAATAGGCAGATCAGTTAGCTGGCAGGGAAAACCCTTCCCCCGTTGCCCTCTTTGCCTGCTTTCTCTCCTGCTGTCACGGCATGCTCTTTTTTATTCATGTGTCAGCCATATGACAAACCCCCTGAGTCCTCCATTTTGTTTTTCTCCTGGAAGTATGGAGACAGATAAGATGTCTTCAGAGCTTGATAGGTACTTTAGAGCAGGAGTTTTCAAACTTTTCCAGCTGTGAAGCCCTTTTGAAGCAAACATTTCTCATGGAGCCCTCATAAATGTATATATATCAGGCATGGGCAATTTCTTTGATGTGTTGCATTTTAAAATTTGACAGACGGGGTGGGCCAGTGAACTAATTGAAAAAAAAGTTAACAAATTCCAGTGTATACTGTACATGTCACGCTGCTTGTGCAAAAAATAAAAATATAAAAGGAAAGGAAAGGAAGGAAAAAACAACAATACAATATTTTAAAATGAAGAACAGTTTAACCAACATAAACTTAACAGTATTTCAGTGGAAGACCCAGGGGCTATCCAGTCCGACCACCTTCTGCCATGCAGGAAAAGCACAACATACCCCCTGAAAAAGGCTTCTGGCGGCAAGGGAGGCAAGGYAAAAAAAAGGCTTTTGATGGCAAGGGAGGCAAGGAAAATAGGATTTTGTTAGCACAAGAAGCAGGGGAAGGCTTTTTGCCAGCAAGGGAGGCAAAAAAAAAAAAAAAGGATTTTGCAGCAAGGAAAGCAAGGGAAAGGGGCTTTTGGTAGCAAGGGAAGAGAAAAAACCAAAAAAGACTTTGAGCACCAAGGAAGGTGAGAAAAAAAGTTTTTGGCAGCAAGGAAAGCAAGGAGAAAAGGGTTCTGGCAGCAAAGGAGGTGAGAAAAAAGATTTTTGGTGACAAGGGAAGAGAAAAAAGTGAGAAAAAAAGGCTTTTGGCAACAAAGGAGGTAGGAGAAAGGATTTTGGCAGAAACTGAGGTGAGGAAAAAAAGGTTTTTAGAAGCAAGGGAGGCAGGGGAATGGGAAGTTGCTGAAAAGAGGAGGGAAAGCTTGAAGGGGGAAAGGGAGGAGAAGGAAAGCGCAGAGCCTCCCAGAATTAGTAATAGGGCCCCAAGGGCTCCACTGAGCACACTTTAAGAACTGTTGCTTTAGAGAGTTAGGCTCTAACTTTCCTATATAGAAATGTAGTTCTTTCAGTAAAGTGTTTTATAACATTGAAATATTGACTGCTCCTGTAATTGCTGAAGCTTATTTGTTTTACTGCTAGCTCAAAAAGCTTCTGGTCTGCTAAAACTGCTGCTATTGCTATTGATGTTGCTGCTGATTTACATTTTTTTCTTTTTTGAAAATTCAGAGTCAAGTAAAACAATAAACTTGTCATTTTGATGTGTCCCGATGTGTCCCTTGATGTGAGAACTGCTGATTTTTTCCACTGCTGATTGCTAGAGAAACGAAGTACAGGGATCTTACTCTACTTCTTTTCCTAGTAAACTGCAAGAGAAACAAGAGGCAATCTCAGCTGCTTAGTTATATCACTTCATGTTCTTTTTTAAAATGGCAACAGAGGAAGGCTCAGCCTGGCTCACCTTGAAATCCACTTTTACCTCAACCTTCATCAGCAGGCTTTTGCGGGAGATCAAGAAACATCAGAAGGAAGGGGAATATATAAAACTCCCACTCTGTGTGTGCCTTTTTTCTGTTGGCATATGGCAACCCCCTGAATTTCATAGGATTTTCTTGGACAAGGAATACTCAAGAATTTTTGCCATTTCCTTCCTCTGAAATATAGCCCACAGCACCTGGTATTCATTGGCAATCCACTATCCAAGTTTTTGCTTAGTTACCAAGATCAGAAGATTTAGTATGTAGAGAAAGCTAAATATGGTGCTTTGAATCTTAGTCGTTGCAAATACTCTTAACTTTTGATAAAGTGTAATTTCATACTAAAATCAGATATATATTTGACTGTATGAATATGAGCTGATCTTGGATTGAGATCTGGTCTGAATTGCAGTTTTTAAATAAAAAGCCTCTTCCATACAGTTCATCCATGCAATTTACATTGAAAGAGCAGGCCACAGTAAGAAAGGTACAGTTTTTAATGCAAAGCTACATGTGGTTTATTTCTTCTGACCAGATTGTTCAGCTACCATTCCCTTTCGAATACATGCTTAACCACTGTATCAATGTGTATTACTCTAGCTAAGTTTCTCTAAATATGGAGTGGAATTAACATTGCATGTCATTTCAGACAGTAACCTCTGGCTTGGAATCTGCTAAAAAGAAAAGCAGTTTGACAAAAAACAAGATTGCCACAGGAGGTGAGAACTAGTATTCTGACTGATGAGAAACTGTGAAATGCTTTCTGTAAAGTAACACACAACTCTTGATCTTTTACAGGTGATTCTGTAAGCACATATTATAAGGTAAGAGCAAAATCAACATTACTGCTTTCGTTATAGATTTCTTAGTAGTTTATACCACTTTGTCATAGATATGCTTTATATTTCAAAGGGAGTTTCACATACAGTGTTCTGGTGTGAGCTGATCTCAGTGTGAATTCTTCCTATCCTGTTTTTTTTTCAGTTCCTATGCAAAAATAAATTAGTTTCAGTCATCTGCTATAGAATGCATTCTGTCATTTAAAATTAAACACACGTTAGTCTAGAACAGTGATTCTCAACTTGTGGGTCCCCAGGTGTTTTGGCCTACAACTCCCAGAAATCCCAGCCAGTTTACCAGCTATTAGGATTTCTGGGAGTTGAAGGCCAAAACATCTGGGGACTCACAGGTTGAGAAGCACTGGTCTACAAGTCACAGCTGCTGCTGCTGTTGCTTCTTCTAAAAGGAGGGGACAAAAAGCCCAACTGAAGCTGCAATTGAAGGGAAATGGCCCATTTTAAAACCTTCCTGCAGACTTTGCCTTGGAACAGAATGGGCCCTCTGTATCTATGGATACCACCATCCACAACTTGAATCTCTCTCTCTCAAATCTTGACTTTACCATCTATATAAATAAAAATGTAATATTCGCTTGTGGGATTAACATAACTCAAAAACCACTGGACGAATTGACTCCAAATTTGGACACAATACACGTATCAGGCCAACGAGTGACCATTACTCATAAAAACACCGAAAAACACAGCAGAAGAGACTTAAAAAGACAAATAAATTAAGAAAACATTACAATGCATGCGCAAAACCACATATACATATGCAAACACACGTATATACACATATACACAAATATACACACACAAAGCACGTATACACAGACTATGCCATAGCAACATGTGGCAGGGGATGGCTAGTTGTATATAAGGGACATAATTTTACTACACTTTTGTATATCACTGAATTTGAGCATCCATGGGTTTTGGTTTCCTTTGTGGGTCCTGGAACCAAAACCCAACAGATACTGAGAGCCACTGTATTTTACTTAAGAGGTTTGATTTTTATGTACTTGGAAGATAGGGGTGTCCTATTTGTTATTTCTGTGTCGCAACTGATCCTCCATATCCACTGATTTAACCATCCACTATTAAAAAAAAGTTTGATTTATATACCTATTTTATATACTGGAGTCACATAAACATTTCTTAGGCAAAAAGTGCTTGGTGTTGAAAACATTTAAGAAGCCCCGCTCTAATGCATCACAACCAGCAGAGTGTCTCGTGCAAAGAAGGACCAGTTCTAGCCATTCAACCCATTCCCCTCCCATGAGCGGCTGTAGCACTTCTTCACAGCCAGGCTGGAGTTGCTGCCTCTCAAAGGACCTAAGTGTGCAGAGTGGGCTGTACAGGAGAAGGCAATCCTGTGGGTAACCTGGACCCAAACCATGTTGGGTTTTAAAGGTCAAAACCAGCACTTTGTTCTTTGCCCGGAAACTAATTGGCAACCAGAGGGGCAACTTTACAATAGATGTAATATGCGCATTGCTGGATGTTCCTGTGACCAATCTGGCTGCTGCGTTTTGAACTAGTGAGAGTTTCCGAACTTGATACAGAGGTAGCCCAGTGTAAAATGTAGACTCATATAATGCAGTTTAATTGTACTGAACTGCATTATTAGTTGGAGCTGTATTATATGAGTCTACACTGACCATATAATACAGTTCCAGCTTGCATTATATGGCAGTGTGTATGGGGCTTTCCAGTGTCTTTAAAAACTGAATTCTAGAATCAGACTCAAACCTTTTTCAAAAGTCATATTAGAAAGACAGGCTGCCACATATTTGTAATTTCCGATAAAGAGGTAAGACTGAAGTTTAGGAGCAAACGTGTCACAAAAATGAATGGTTAAATATTAGAATCAATGATTTTTATTACAAATGTGGTGGCTCTACTCTTTTACAGGACCATTATAAAGCTGCAATGGAACAGTTGGCGGCTATTAGCTTGTCAAACAATACTAGGACATCACAGGTAGTATTTCTTTGCCTTGATATTTTCATTATACATTTTACACATTTTGAATGTTTACTGCTTATTCTGAGCTATATATAGAGGGCATTTTTCTAAAAATGTTTTGTCTTTTCCAGCACACTTCAAATAGCCCCAAACAAGGGTCATTTATTTCCTGGAGCCATATGTGTAATCAAGACAATAGTTCACTGAGCAGGTAAAGACCTGTACCTTTTAAGTGTGATTAAAATTGAATTGGTGGGTAAGCAGGCCAAAAGAAGCCTTAATTACTTCTTTGGCTATAAGTACAGAGTGCCATATTTTGGCAATGGAAATCTCTGTTTCATAGTTGGTTTTCTTTGAAGGCATTAAAGACAAAAAAGGAGACATGTCTAGGGTGGGAACATGCTGGGGCAGGTCAGGCTTTGGATGTACAAGTCTCAAGGTCCCTTCATTCCCCAGACATTTCCTCACAGTCAAGGAATAGCTGTACCACCCTCAGAGCCAATATATGTCCTTATTTCATTGGAAACAATGAGAAGGAAAATTAAGTACCAACTAAAGTGAATGGTAAAATTATCCTCCTCTGGTGGTTAGTACAAACTCGGCAGAGCTTAGGGACTGGCAATTTCTCTGCTATGAACTCTCCCAACTTGCAGTCTCTGTAAGATTACTGTCTACTTCTTTTCTGTATTTCCAGTTTTGGAGATATATATTTAACTTCTTCTTTAATCTATATTTTTCAGCTATGTAAGTATTATCAAGGCAATATACATCCAATTAAATTGGTTTTCCTTGCTCTCCATATTGCAAAACAATAATCAAAATAAAAACCGCATTGAGTCACCTGCTTGGGCTGAAAAATGCGGTATAGAAATAAAGCAAATAAATAAATAATAATAACAATAAGCAATTAAAATAATATTCTCACCTCAAAGGCACAAAGTGAAAAAATGGTTATAAACCTGTCAGTCTATCATTCTATTTTTCCCTATCTTCAAAACCCACCAGCGTTTTAACAATTCCATTTTTATTAATAATATGAATGGTTCCCATTGTTTTAAAAAGATATCACTTAACTTGTCCGTTTCTGCCAGTTCTAAAATTGTTTTTTTTAGGTGATCCTTTAGCTTTCCATTTTTGTGCATAGTCTTGCTCCAATAATCATATAATGTACTAATATGAAATTTATTTATTTATTTTTCATGGACTATAATATATTCATATAGTATATAATGTATTCATGGAATCAGAAGAGACCACAAAGGCCATCCAGACCAACCTACCATTGTTTGTCATTTGCGTGGCAACATACTTCAAAATGGGTTCTGTCAGCAGATTAAAGACATTCTAGTAAAAGTGACTAAAACCTGCAAGATCAAGCAATTAATGAAGAAAAATAATGGTTTTAATAAGCAACTTGGATGGTACAGTGTTGTATTTCTGACATAATGCAATTTCTTAGAAGAGAAGAGACCTTTTATGTCACAGTGAAAACAGCATGTCTTTTTCTGTGTTGGCTCACCAGTTTTTCTAAACATAACACAAATTATATTTTAAAGAAATTGCTGCCTAATCCCTTCATGCAATCATTTCACTTTCTAGTAAGTAAAAAGATTTTGAACATTTAAAAATTACAACCTTAGTAAAGGTAAAGGTGTCCCCTAACATTAAATCTAGTCGTGTCCAACTCTGGGGAGCGGTGCTCATCTTCATTTCTAAGCCAAAGAGCCGGCTTTTCCGTAGACACCTCCAAGGTCATGTGGCCGGCATGAGCGCTGTTACCCTCTCACTGTAGCAGTACCTATTGATCTACTTACATTTGCATGTTTTCAAACTGCTACGTTGGCAGAAGCTGGGGCTAACAGCGGGAACTCACCCCGCTCCCCAGAATCAAACCACCAAGCTTTCAGTCAGCAAGTTCAGCAGCTCAATAATTTAACCCACTGTACCACCAGGGGCTCCTATTTCAACCTTACTGAAAGTGAAATTAAAAATGAAAATATGAAATCTACTCTGTAAAACTATGCTGCTTTCGTGTGGTGCTGCAATACCAGCTAAGAAGTATGGAAGATGTTACTGTATTTCCCTGAAAATAAGATCATATATTACACTATGTAAATCGATTCCTGGCTTATATATGTGATTTCCCAATTGGTTCTATCATAAAAACATTGAAAAAGTTTAATAAAATGCAAAAACTTTGTTTTTGCTAAACATCCTACAGCACATTTTGCTAGTTTTCAATGACTCTCTCATAGGGTTTTAAGCAATTCAACATAATTTGTGACTGCCACAAAAACAAAGTTGCTGGAGTATAACAACTACAGTACTTTCAAAGGAGATGTCTTATTCTTTCATATACAACAATCTACATTTATTCAAATACAGTCATGCCATCTTTTTCTGGAACATTGTCATAATATTATAGCAATAATATTATTTATTCATATTTAATTATATATCCATATTGTTTTATAATTCACTTTGCCCATCATATGTTACAGTGGATGTACTACTGGTTAACATACTCATCTGGCTGACAATCTTAACTGAGGCTTATTTTGGGATAGGAGTTCTATTACAAGCACCCTGAAAAATCATGTTAGGCCTTCTTTTCCAGTTAGGTCTTATTTTCAAGGAACGGGGTAGTTCCCCAGTGATAAGAGTTGTCTGTTGTTGTTGTTGTTGTTGTTGTTGTTGCAGAGGGCTTTTGAGTGATGGGAGATTACCTCTCTTGGTTGTTCTGTTATATTCTATGGCAGCACTGGAGAACCATAGACCCAAAAGCCAAATTTGACCTTGGGTTTCCCCATATGTTTTTGTTCTCTTCTATAATGTCCTCAATTAGAGATTTCACAGCTTTTGGGGAGTGTTTTTTGTTTTGTTTTTGTTTTTTTAAAAAAACAGCTGAAATGTTTCTGCTAAGGTTTAGGTACTGGCAGCAAGAGGTTTAAGCTCCTTAATTACACGTATATTTGGTCATCTTTCTCCTTTGGCCCTATCATCTCTCTAAAACTTCTTTGAAATTGAATATGGCACTGAGTGGCTGATGGCTATGATGAAGATTTTTCAACACAGCCAAAAGGTCAAAAGAGGTCTTAAGTGGGATCTTATCTTTAAAAAAAATACATGGAACTCAGCTACAATCCACTTGCTTCAAATTGTGGTTTTTGTCTACCATGGAACAGACTAGAGAGGATCTGCTACTAGCAAGTCTGTACTAATTTACTGCCAGCATTAAAATATGACTTCAAGATAGCATTATGTCTGGAAATAAAAAGATGATAGTAATAATAATAATAATAATAATAATAATAATAATAACATTTTTTTTGTATCCCACCTCCATCTCTCTGAAGAGGCTCGGGGTGGCTTGCATGGGGACAAACCCAATCAACATAGTTAAAATATAACATACTAAAGTTCATAAAACAACATCATAAAACAATATAAAACAAACAGCAACATAACACAGTATAATAAAAACTTTATTTCTAGACTGGCCTCTCTCCCCAGAAGGACTTGTGGCAGTTTACACATAAAAGGCAAACATTCAGTGCCTCAAAATAGGTACGGATACATCAAAATAGATACAGACAAACCAGAAGCAACTTGCAGTTTCTCAAGTCACTTCTGACACACACAGACAAAAAAATCAAAATAATACAAAATAATTGAGAGTAACAACAGAAAACTTACAACAAATGAATTAAGTATTAAAATAAAATAAAATCAGAAAAACTAAAACATAAATAAACATTGCAATGTACACCCTAAAAACAAATTATGAGATATTATATTAAAAATGGCTGACAGCAATGTAGTATGTGTGCTATGGTAGCAGATTTCTTTGCCTGTTGCTCTCCATAGAATGTAGAATGGAGTGAGTAGCAGAGAGAGAGATCTCAATTGTTAGTTAATCTGTGTCACTAATGGAACGCAGATTCATCATCATCATCTAGAGTCCAACCCATACTTATTTTTCTAAGGTGAATGCCAGTGTTAATTTCTACTAAGTAATACCACTATTTTCCCTGCAGAGACTTCAGTAAAGCTTCCATACACATGCCGTCTAATTCCAGTGATGTTCCTACAAACTTGATCCACACTAATCCACTGGTGCATTCTTTTATGAAGAGATGCTACCCAGCTTCTCATTTTGGAACTCAGAAAACAACATCAGGGAATTCCAGCAAAAACAGTGATGGAGACATTTGCAAAAAGGGCAATGAAATCAATGCTTCTGATTCTAGTAGTAGTGATGACACACTTTCAACACTCAAAAGGAAAATGAAAAGAAGAAATGCCAATGTGGAGAGCGCAGGTCCAATAGAAGAGAAGAATACATCTGAGAATGAAGAAAGAAATAAACTTTTGCAGGAATACTTAAAATTGTTTAATAGTAACCTAAAACCTGATCCTATAGAGCACAAGGAAGATGTTTTCTCCTCAGTGGGGGATGATACTTTTTCATACCCTGATTTTCTTCCTCCGCCATACAATACCTTGGATTTACAAAAACTATCCAAGTTGGATAATTGGAGATCAGCTTTCAAGGAACCACTTGACGACTCAGTTGATCAACTAATATCTCGTATCATCCGTATGGAAAGGTTGCAGCATTTGACTGTAGTAAGGGAAAAGACAAAAGAATCTGCTTATCCTGCTGTGGCTGCTAACAACCATTCGGGTTCTTTAACAGATATACACCAACGGAAACAACTAAGGCCCTTTGATTTCTCATGCTCTCAGGCAGCTTTTGATGGTGATCGTCACAATTTTGGTTTTTCTATGCATGAACGGCATATACAGAAATGCACAAGCCAGCATGGTCATAGCAAGCAGAGTTTTGGAGGAGTATCTCCTGTGCGTTCATCCACAAAATCCTCGCAAGCATGTTACAGTACCTCAAAAAGTGTCAAAGCTCCAGTCACAGTAGACTCAAGCACTGTTGTCACGCGACAGTCTGCAACATCATGCTCTGGAAGCTCATCAAAAATTCACACAGGTGTCAAAATGACTTCTTCAACATTACTTTCATCCAGCTCAACCGACGACAGTTCGAAAGGTAAAGATGTGAGGACTAAAAGAAAATCTTGCAGAAAAAACTGAAGCAGTGATGAGCAAACTCATCGACTCTCAAAAAGTAAACTGATCTCTTATTTCAAAGCAAAAGTGTTCTGATGTTAGCTATCAGTGATCTATTAAATTTAGTGCACAATGTGTTATTAGTATCATTTAAGCAAACAGACTGAGCGATAGTAATTTGGAAAGCTGTTTATTAACTTGTGTTATATGAAAGCATTGGATTTTTAAAAAATGTCACGTGAGACTATAAAAATTATTGGCACAAATGATTATTGTGTTCCTATCCTGCTAGAGCAGGGGTTCTCAAACATTTTCTGCTGCAGAACCCTTTTTGAAGCAAAAGTTTCTCATGGAACCCCAATAAATGATTATATTATATTGCATTATATTATACATTATATATAATGTATATACACTTGCATGGGCCAGGGCAGTGGCAGATGGATGTTGAGTGTTTATGTGAACTAATTCACGCAGTGCAATAATAATAATAATAATAATAATAATAATAATAATAATAATGAAATATTAGAGTAAGAGAGAGAAGAAGATCGTGCTAGACTTGAATGGTGGCCATGAAAGGACAATCCTTTATGCACAGGTAAGCAGGCAGGCAAAATCAGGGCTCATGTACACAACGGTCAGGCTAGACTAGAGGTAGGGAGAGGGAGGGCAGCACAAAGCCCCTCAGTAAACTTTGCAGAGCCACAAGGGCTCCGCAGAACATACTTTGAGAGCCACTGTGATAGATTAATCAGAACTGCTACATTTTTCTTGTTTTAGTGTAAGTGTATTTAAATAATCAAATAAAATATAGTCTATGGACTCTTTGACTTGGGCTATTCTAAATTGAAGATAGTTTGAGGAATCAAAGTCACTTTGATTTTAATTTCTTATATTGGTTTCAAGATATCTAATTTTTCTTTGTGGCTAAGCAAATTGAAAAGAATCTCTGTGAAATACCAAGATTACTATATCCATGTTTAGAAGAAATGTACCTTGGATGAGATGCTTGAAGAAATCAACATAAGATGGTGACTGTTTTTATACCCCACTGGAAATCTTTCTCTGGAATAGGTGGAGAAAATGCCTTACCAAAAACTAAGCCAAATAAATCTCTTACCCATAAAAAAAAAACCATTGTGCAAACAAACAAAAATCTTAAAATAGGTGGAAAATGTGTGAGAAAAATCAACTTAAAACCTGATCTCAAAATTTCTGATAGCATATCTGTAATGATAAATGTAGTCTAGTGTCTCTTCTATAGCTCCAAGACAGGGAAACCTAGACAACAGTCTGGATAACGAAAGGGACATTGAGAGTGATTTATTTTAATTAATTAAAATCTGTCTATAGTTCACTGAGTCAGTAGGTGGCATAGAGTCATAGAGCACTGGATGGCAAATACCACGTGTCTCAGAAGAAAGAGGTTCCTTAGTGCATAAGGGGTTCCCAAATAAAACATTTTGAGATTTGGTCCAAATGCTTACAACTGGTTCAGGCTGGGGCTATGGGGAAGCAAACCACAAACGTCCATTTCTGAGCTTTCTATTATTGCAGCAGCATAAATTCTACTGTTGTAAAACCCAGCTGTTTGGTGAACTTTGCCAATATCTGACTCCCTGTGTGTATCTCTTTAGATACACATACATGTCCATTTATACAAGATGAGGAGAATTCTTGCTACCTGGTAGAGGCTTCCTGCCTCCTCTTCCTTAGTTATATGGCATTTTGCCTTTGCTGTGAGGAAGAGGGTGCATATATAACTCGGGAAGGGAAGACTGCGGTCATGGGGTGGGTGAGGAAGGCTTCATTCTTCATTCAAACACACTTTCGTATCTGGGACTGCAATCTATCTTATATCCACTTACCCAGCAATCGGCCTTATTGTATGCAGTGATATCTGCCTCTGATTATGCGTGTAATATATAAGATTGTACCGATATACCTCTGTCAATGCAGCGGACCTGTTCCTGAGCATTACTTCTTTCATGGGGACACATGGAAAGAACAGGGATAGGATCCTATACCACTGAAAAGAAGAGCAGTCATCTTGTTTCAGGAAACTATCCAAAAACTAAAAATATGCAAATATGAAAGGAAACGAACAGGATTGGTGAGTCCTGTAAAAACTACATTCATTTAACCTTTTGATAGTTATAAAAATTCATTTAGGGACTTTTTTTTTGTTTCACAAACTTGAACTTTTCATGATTTCCATTTTGGTGACCAGATATTTTTTCTTAAATGCTGTGGGAGCTGATGAGGCTGGCTTATCTAGTTTCCCCATTTGTCTCCGATTTGCTCTCAAAGCATGCCAGTAAAGGAACCTTGAAGCAATGACTGACTTTCTTGCCTGTTCTTGGCATGTAGGTACCTGTAGGATGGGCTGCAGTAGAATCGCATTCTTTCTCAGTTTAAACTTTATTGCATTGTTTATTGCAGATAGCACTACAACCTGTTAATGAAAGTCTGTGTTTCTCCACTCTTGCTTTACCATTCTCCTAGTGAAAGTGCTGCGGGAAAGCCCTCCTGATAGACACGGATGAAAGTTGGGACTGTGCTGGTGTAAAGAGTTTGTCAATAGAAGTGTTTGTGTCAGAGGCGTTGTTAATTGGAGTATGCTTGAATTGGTAATTTACTTTTTAAAGAAGAAAGTTACTTTCTCAAGAGGGGAGCCTTTGGCCATATTCAGAAGCTATTTCAGATCCATTTTTTGAAAGGATAGTTCCTTTCTCAGAGAAAATGGGCTTAGGAAAGGCTCTCTAGTTCTATTGTTGCTATTACATACCATCACGATCAACACTACACAATATAGCTTATTTTTCCTACACTAACTTAGCTTCACACAAATTTGTGTTATGTAGTTTGAGGCAAGAACCCTGGCAATGAATGAAAGGATAAGTACTGGGGACTATGCTACCCATGAGTTCCTGAAAGCAGCCCCTCCTCAGGTGCCAAATCTGGTGGGAAGCTTGGCTTTGCAAAACCATACATATCTCTACAGCAAGAAAGGAGTTCACCGCCTTCCTCTGCTGAAGCAGCCAAATCTGTGTTTCTTTTTGCTAAGAAAGGGTATAGAAATGTCACTGGATTTGGGTCATTTCTCTGAGTAGAGGAAAGAAACACTTTTCTTGGCAGAGAGATGCTTATGGCTCTAAACAACCAGGTTTCCTGACAGGTTTGGGAGGAAGTTTGGCTTTCTCCCAAGACAAATTAGATTCCCAGGAAAGGGACTGCTTTCTGGATCTCAGCACAGGCAGATCTGCTCCAACATGTGAGCCTTCCTTTCAGCTGTGTCATCCGTGGGGCAGCAGAGAAAAATATTTTGACTTGTGTTCTGTGTGGTATTTTCAGTGGCATGCTGACTAGGAGGAGTGGAAGCTTCCCAGATATTACCCCCAAATTATATTACACAGAGGGCCCTGGAGCAGATCCTTTCTGTAAAATGCAGACTTACTCTACATCTTATATCAGCCACACTCCAGAGTCAGGTTACAACAACAATAAAACTTTATTTATATAATGCTCTATCTCCCCGAGGGGACTCAGAGCAGTTTCAAAGTAACATCATCAATACATTCAAAGAAAACAGCATAAACATAAAATTAATAAGACAATAAAAATATAAAAAATCACGATAGCACATATATATTTAAAATAATCCTGCCTGTTCAAGGAAATTTAAAAGGCCGGGCCGAGGTTAGTGCAATTTATAGAGGGCCTGGGAAATTAGGTAGAGTCTGTTCATTTCCGGGGCCTAATAGGAGGAAGTAACCTGCGTAATTGGTATAAAAAGATATGGACATATTCAACAGTATCTGGGGCTGAGCTAGAACTAGTTGTTCTCAAAGGTTTGTTTAAACTACCAGGTCTTCAGGCTCTTACGAAAGGAGGGGAGGGATGGAGCCTGTCTTATTTTCTCTAGTAAGGGTGTTCCAGAGGCGAGGGGCCACCACCGAGAAGGCCCTCTCTCTCGTGCCAACCAACTGTGCTGGTGACGGTGATGGGAGCGAAAGGAGGGCCTCCCCAGAAGATCTTAAAGTTCACACCGATTCATAGAGGGAGATGCGATTGCAAAGATAGGCGGGGCCCGAACCGTTTAGAGCTTTATAGGTCATAACCTGCACCTTGAATTTGGCTTGGTAGCTTATCAGCAGCCAGTGAAGCTGTTTTAAAAGGGGCGTTGTATGCTCCCTATAGTTTGCTCCAGTAAGGAGCCTAACTGCCACCCGTTGTACCAGTTGGAGCTTCCGGGCTGTCTTAAAGGGCAGCCCCATGTAGAGCGCATTGCAATAGTCCAATCTTGATGTAACCAAGGCATGGACCACACTGGTCAAGTCAGACTTCACTAGGTATGGTTGCAACTGGCGCATGAGTTTGAGTTGTGCAAAGGCCCTCCCGGCCACCACCTGAGCATCAAGTGACAGCGTTGTGTCTAGGAGGACCCCCAAGCTATGGACCTGCGCCCTCAGGGTAGTATGACTATTCCCATTTTGTACTTTGGGTGTAGTTCCAAATGGAAAAGCCATTGTTGAAGGTGCCTCAGGATCATTTGGATAAGTCCTGCAAGACCTAGAGGATGGTCTGATTTGACCATTGCCATCTGGCCTAAGGGGAGCAGGAACAGCTACAAAGGCTGCTTGTTGGTAGTGCAACAGGTACCTAAAGATGATAGTGAGGGTCTTATTTAAAATAGTATACATTTAAAATACAGGTTGCGCATTGAATTTTTCCCATAGTTTGTAAGCCACCCTGATCCTAGATGCTTATCCTAGATGCTTGCGACCGAAAGTGTTCCATAATTTGGATTGTGTGTGTGTGTGCTTATTGCTGCTAGCCACTTGCTTTTTCCTTCACGTCTGCATTTGTGCCATTCTTTGTCTTTCAGCTCTTTTTGTCGACTTCCACCTTCGAAGTAGCAAATGCAGCACTTCTGACTGTTCATTTTTCAGATCCCTGGTCTCTCTTCCAGACTTGTGAAGTTAGGGGAGATTGAAGATCTGAAAGATGAATTTAAAAAGGTATGCTGCAGCTGCCATCTTGGGGCACAAAAAATTGTTTTTTTCATTCCATGTTTTTAGATTCAAGAGACTCGACCTATACTTGCAGGCACCAGCTAAGAACAGTCTTCCCTCTTCCTCAGGAGGAAGAGCAAACAAAGTGTTCCCAGCTGGTACTTGCAAGCACCAGAGGATCAACTCTGCA